AATATAATTTAGATTCCAGTTATTGCTATTTTTGACAAGGAGAGAAACCTCTGTGCTTTATATAGATGCTACATGCTTCATCCAACAATTAGAGATTTATGGCTGATCATTAAGAGCCACCAAAAAGAAATCTTTTTGAAGCTGTAGCTGAAACAAGCAGAACAGATATTATAAAAAAAAAATACACACCTTAATTTGAGGTAGTCTGAAGAGTGCAGTAGAGACCTGTGGCAGACAGAGTTCATGTCCTCTTCTGTTACCTGTCCTGTGCCCTTTGCTGCAGAAGTAGCTACACTGTGAAATCTAACTGTACAATTTCCAGAAACAATAAAAGATTTATCGTTCTTTGTAAACGTTGTGTATAATTCATCAAATGAAAAGAGTACACTTAAATGACTGTTTATAATCTCTAGTCAGTGTTACTAGTACATATAAAAGCTGAAAGTAACAGCAGGACAACTGGAAAAGGGTGTTGTTTGGTGCCTGCTAAATAAGCAGCTAAGATTCTTTTGCTATTATAATTGTTCTATTTTTACAAATAATAATAATAATAATAATAATAATAATAATAATACTTTATCTTTATCTTACTCCTCTCTGGCAGCCAGAATGGGTTTCATTCTTTTGAAACTTATTTTTATTATTACATTTTTAAAATTATTTTGAAATTTATTTATTTTTTACTCTGAATTAAGAAACTGCTTTATTTTAAATTAGATTTTTATTCAGTGTTCAGTGCTATTTCTGCCAATTCCTTTTCCATTTAAACTTTTGTTAATTTTCCAAACTTTATTTAGAAATACTTTATATATTGTGTGTACTGTTATATAACATGTTTTCTCATTGGTACATCTGCTGTGCATGTAGTCACTGGTTTTCTGTACTAAATTCTAGCAAGACCTACAGTGGAATTCTTTTTGCATAAATTTTTTAATTTCTACTGATATAAAACCAAGAAGAAAACATTGGTCAAAAAGTAATATACAATGGTAGAGTTTGAAGAAATT